GTGGCTTCCTCACGTCTCCTTGTTCTCCATCCAGCTTCCTTCTCTTCTTCTCCCCTCATTCCTTCTCTCCTTTTTCTCTGCTCAGCTCCACCCTCCTTCTGGGTGGGGCAGGGAACCTGGAACTTCCCTTTTTCCTAGGGACCACCCTGTTACAATGGTACTGCAGAACCAGACCCTGTTCTCAGCCTTCTTCAGGGACAGCCTGGATAAGACACCTGCACGCCCTGGTGAATGCCAGCATCCACCTCTCCCTTCAGAACCACTGAACAATGACCAGCAGCATAAACAGAACCTTCCTGTCTAATGATCCAAAAAGTCATTACAGAAGGGCAGGAGTCCCCCCCCCCCCACATCTGCAACATGTGGCACTTAACTATTGTAATTTGGGGTTGGGGTTCTCAATATCTAATGTTCAAAACATTCTACTAGTTTACTGGCTACTTATCAAATGAGTTCCCGCACTAGCATTGCCTGTAGCCAGAAAATAACATAGTCCCTCCCTTGGTGTCAGGTGTCAAGCTTGTCACCTGAGCTAGTGAAGCATCTGAGCAGTCAGTGCACTGCATGCGCACTGGGTTCTGGCTAATGGTACACAGGGTTCCGGAAGGCGTTAAGTGTGATGTTGATGTTGGGGGAATTCCAGATCACAGCTGAAAGGATCTTGAAGTTAAGCCAACTCACTCCCAAAGAAGAGAAAAATCCAACCATGGTTTCATCTGTGAATAATTTGGGGGTTTAGGAAAGCCCATAGGATAATGGGTCAAATTGTTTTGAGCAAAATTAAAGCCTTTGAAAGTGCAGTGGAAACCAGACACAATGTGAAGGATGTCCCTCATCAGAAGAATTGCATTTGAATCATTCCTTTACATCAGGATTAATTAGAATGCAGTAGGGATTTTGTTCAATGGGTGATATAAAATATAACTTCTGTGACTGAAAGGACCAATTCCCCCCCCCAATATTTATTATAACATTCTGGCCCCCTATTTAAATGGCCTTCAGTCTCCCTTTACCAGAATTGGCCACCTTCAAATAACCAAGAACTCTGGTCCTATGTATTAAGCATCCACCACACGCCTAGCTCTGCACTAGACCCTCCCCTTATTTTATTATCTGGACCAGTTTCCAATGCTGCAATTGGAAAGGACCGTTCATAGGTTTTCCTTCTTTGCTTTCTGATTGGCCCTTGCCAGCCCAAGCTTATCTCCTTGTAGACCCTCACTGAAAGCTACAAAAAAAGAGCCAAGAGTCCAACATCCTGAATTTTTTTCCTGTCATTTCTCCTAAAACTGTAGTCATGCAGTTTGTCTCCAAAGTAACAATTTAACCTGTTGTTTTGCACCCACAAAATAAATAATACCCTGTTCGCAACAGGAAATACCATGTCTGTGTGAGCCCTATCCTACTGCATCCACAGCAGCTCCCTGTTCTCCAGCCTGTAACTTACGACACTCCACTTCTGAGTACCACATCCTGCACCTGTCAGGGTTCTTCATGGCAAATTCCAGAAACAGACTGTGAACAATATTTATAGGGAAGAGTATTTGGCAAGAAAATTGAGTAGCTTATTATTCAGAAGGCTGTAGAACCAGTTTCGGGAGTCAGGTTGGAACAAGGCAGGCCAGGCCACAGGCAAAATCATACCTCAGAGGCGGCCAGGTGAGGACCCCACCAGTGCTGCTTGAGAGCTAGGCCCTGACTGGCCCTGCTGCTTCCTCAGGCTCATCACTAATCCCCAGCATTCCTGCTACTGCAGACCACCGAGCTCTAGTGGTTGCTGCTGCCACCACCACATCTCACCACGTGTGGCCTTTCCCTGAAATCCCAGCAGACATGGCACACCCGGGGAACAAAAGAGAGAGGCCTGGTTAAGTCTAAGAGGCTCAATAGCAGAAAATTGGGCCCAACTAACCAGGGTGAGATGCAAAGCCTGGATTAGGTTGCATGCAACAGGCAGTGCCCAGCCTGTGCCTGCCCCTAGCTACAAGGGGAGTCCTAGTGAGGACTCTGGTATCTCAGCTTTGCGAGTGGGAGGTGGTGGTGTCTCCCATCAAGAGTCATAGGTGAGGCTTTCTCTACCCACACAGTGGAGTTTCACATGCTAATTAGCAACCTTCCTGTGTAAAAATCGTATCAGATGTCATCTAATTTCATAGAAAGCCCCGCAAGGGGTTTTCATAGATGTGGAAACTGAGGCTCAGCTGGACAGGGTAATCCAGATTAGCCTGGCTCCCTCAGTTCTGCATGCAAGCCAGGAGTCTGACTGCAGAACCTTCTGCCTTTCTGTGACTCCAGCCAGCTCCCGAAGGACATCTTTGCCCTCCTCTACCCTGAATACCAACAGCCCCGTCTACGGGCCCGAAGCCGCACCTCTGCACACCAAATGCCCTCTGTTTGCTATTCAGCGTGGTCTGTGTCACTGACCTTGGCCTGGACTCCCCACTGAACTTTGAGTCCAAGAGTGTAGGGGCAATGATCACACACCCCATAAACTGTGTATTCACCTACCAGGCGTGCTGTTACCTTTGTTGGCTGGCTCACCTTTGACCTGGTAAATACTGTCCTTCCAAAATTCTCATTCCTGCACTAGCTACCTGTGACTTCTAATTACTTCAGCCCTGTGCCCCTCAGAGTCCCTCACCAAAGCAACAATATTCTCTACCATGTCTGAGCATAAATGCACTCAAGTATCTTTCCATAAGAAAAACTTAAGCTCAAGGACTTAAGGTTGCTTCCTTTGCTCTTGTTCAGCATGGCCATTACCACACAAAAACCAGGGGTTAAGGGTCACTTGCCTGAAGCACATTTCTAGTTGCGTGATACATGTTCTTTGGGGGCCAACAATGAAGGGTAAAGCCCGCTTCTGGGGTGATACCCAGACAGTTTGGCACACGTCCACCTGCAGTCAAGATGGTCCACAGCCCCTGTCCATCTGTATGTTAATTTCATCTCTAAGCCTGATGAGCTTCCCAGGGGCCAGGAGAGGATATGTCCATGGAAACAAGCCGACAAGAACTTGAACCCTTGTCCTGATGCTCACCAGCTGTTCAACCTGTAAAAGTGTCTTGATCTCTCTGATGTCAGTTTCCTCCATTAGGGTTGTATGAGGATTAAAGGAAACTGTTGATAAAGCATGTGGTGCCCAGTAGGTGATCCACCCCTGCGGCTGTCGTGTTATCAGTCTCCACTTGAAACCACCTGTCACAATAGCTGTTTCATCAGTCAGGTCCATGGGCCTGCTGGATTTATCACCTTGGAGGACGATTAATATCATAATCACTGATCATTATTAATAACCACAAAAGTGACAGCAGGAACCAGTTCCCAGGAGAGGCCTGGAGCTGTGAGCTGCAGCTGTCTGGACCAGCTGGTTGGGTGGCATTGGCTGACGGCAATGCCATCGACTTGGAAATGTGACTGGAGAAAGAAGCCCAGGCCTCCTGGGAGGTGCTGTCAGCCCCAGTCTGGGCCCTATTCTCTGATCCTGCTCTGGTGATGGGGACGCTCAGCACAAAATCATCTCCCCTGCACCACAGCCCTGCTCTCTGGCCACAGAATGGGAACATTAGCCCTTTGGGAGAGAGCCCATAAGTGAATTGAATGCTTAGGAAGGGGAGAGCCATGAACAGCATGGATCTCACAGGGCCCATTCTCCATCTTCTCAAGGCTGGGGTTTCAGGCATTGCCACTGGTCTGCCTTTATCTCTCTATCTTGAGTGGCTCCATTTGAGCCATAAAAGCAGGACCTGTGGACAGCAGGGAAGAACCACTACAAATGGGTCTTGGAGTAGTTGTTCCAGGGAGCAGTATGTGCTGGGGTAGCCCAGTATCTGTTGTGATACTGTGTTGTACCCAACTCCCCAACTTTGAGCACATTCTGGAGACCCTGAGTCCCTGCCTCCTCTCTGTGAAACAGTGATGCTTCTATCCCCCAGGGCTGTTGGATGATTGAGATGTCGCAAGTAGAGCATGTTGCGATGTGAATGATGGGGCAGTGAGGGTTCACCTGGAAAAAAAAGGTCACCATGAGTGCAGCCTCCCGTGGTCTCCAGAGAACAGGAAACTCCGGGTATTTGCTGAGTGGTGGAATCCCACCACTCTCCTGGCTCCAGGGTACTCTCTAAATGTACTTGGGTGCCAATTACCCCCACGGCTTTTCTCTTGCAGCTAAACCGGAGTGACAGTGACAGCTCCACCCTGTCCAAGAAGCCGCCTTTTGTTCGAAACTCCATGGAGCGGCGCAGTGTCCGCATGAAGCGGGTAAGCGTCACCGGGAACTCATGGTGTGCCTGTGCTGCCCTCGTCTCCCCGGGCCCTGAGCACCCAGCCCCCGGGTCTGCCCGTCCCATCTCAGCCACGGGTTGAAGGGGGCAGTCTGTGAACATGATGGTGGCGGCACTTGAAATTTATGAACCGAGGCCTGTGGAGGCACCGAGGACGGTGCCGCAGGGTAAATGTGACATTATCACAACCAGTTGGGTCAGGCGTGTGCCTACTTGGCTGCCTTCCTGGAAGAAATCAAAGTCACAAAGGACTCACTAGCTCAGGAAGCGCTGGTCGCCAGTGGGCGCCTGCCTCACGCAAAACCTGATGTGCTGACAGCAGCTAAAGGTTCTGACAGCCCTCCCAGCTGGCCAACCCAGCACTGACCCAAAGCAGGCTGGTGCAAACTGTCTTCTCAGGCCAGATGGAAAGGCATCTGAAGAGGCCACTCGCTGTCTCTGCAGACCAATCTCTCCTTTCCTTATGGTAGCCTGGCTGAGGGGTAGGGTGGGGTGGCGGATAGAAGCATCTACCAGTCAGGGCTGCAGCCAATGCAGAGAGATCCTGCCTCTTTGGGCTCTCAGCACAGGCTTTGCACAGTTCCAGTGAGTTCAGAGCCAGAATGTCAGAAAGAGTGGGAGAGATGGTGCAAAGGATGAAGTCTCAGCACTATGAAGCTATGAGAAGTCACCGCAGCATGAGTTCGAGCTCAAGCCAGGGAGCTACACTTACGGCCCAGCAGACCTCTCCTGGCTCATCCCCTGCCCCTCTCAGCAGTGCATTTCAGTACATCTGCCAGTTATGCTCCCCACTGTCTCTGGTGAATCCTCTCACCACCCCATCATCTCTGGCCTACAGAGACGCATAAAAAAAAAAATCTTAAAAAAAAAAAGAGAGAGAGAGAGAGAGAACAGAACATAAATAAGCAGGGGGCCCACAGCCCATATATCACCTGCAGCCAGCCCCGTGCCCCATGGCTGACAGCCATAGTCCAGTCAGGAGCTGGCCCATTGTCTTTCATCACCCCTACCCCTAATTCTCTAGAAAGAACTAGAGAGAGCAGGAGAAGAGGGTACACAGGAAGGGAGAGAATGCCGACCACGGGAGGATGTGGCCCTAACCTCCTAGTGGTGGAAGGTGCTACCTGCCATCCAGGGTCCAGGGTCACCCTCCCACTCCTATCTGCCATGTCAGGTGGGTGCTGGGATCTCAAGAGTGTTGAGATGAAGATCCCAAGCCACATTCCAATGATGTAATCCAGGCCAGAGGGGTGGGACCCTGGAAGCTGCATTTATCAATTCCTCAGAGGATTCTAGAGCAGGTGTTCTGTGGTCCACTCCTGGAAAAACGCACCGCGAACACTCCTGCTCACTCCCTGCATTCCCTATGGCTCCCTTCCAAAGCAGGCTCCACAGAAGTTCCCCCCACTGTACCTCCTCTTCCTCATAGCACAGGGGAGCCCTTGGTGGTGGGCTCAAGCCCCATTTCCTAGTTCTGTCCTGAGGGACAAGAGAGTCCAGAGGCCGGGCCAGGGCCCTGGGCACTGCAGACCTTCCACTCGAGGTCTGAGCTGAGCCTCTGCTTCAGCATGTGCAGACAAGGTGCTAGCACACTGGTCAGAGCAGAGCATTTGTGGGTGACTCAGCTGGACTTCCTGACCCTGCTCTTTGTAAGCAGTGACTGGGCAGTTGTCACCCTGGAAGAGCTTTCAGACATCTGTACTGAGATACTTTGTGTCTGGGTCTTACAGCATTGTTTTATGTACCATTGCTCAAGTTCCTTTATTGGTTATTAAATTTTCTCTGTTACTGTAGAAGAAATCACTGCAGGTTAGGAATTTAAGCACAGCTTTAGCTGGATTCTTAGCTCAGGGTCTCCCCAAGCTGAAATCGCAGTGGTGACTGTCTGCATCCGTATCCTGGTCTGGAGGTGTGACCAGGGAAAGGTTTGCTTCCATCCTCTCTGGGGGCATTGGCAGAATTCATTTCCTTGTTAGCTGCAGGCCAAGAGCTGTTCACCCTCCTGGCGGTCACTGTCAAGTTCTTGTTGGCTGGCCCTTTCTGCAACACACATTGCTTCTGCAAAACCAGAAAGAGCTCTTCCTACAAGAAGAATTAGGGCCATTTTTTAAAAAGATTTATTTAATCATGCATAGAAGAACTGGGGTACAGACCAGAGGTATGGGGGCTAGGGGGCAAGAGGATTCACTATAGACAGAGTGAGGCAGAGCTAATGAAATACACTACTGAGGGGAGCAGCAGACGGGTCAGGAGAGGTCTGCCGTGTCATGTGAGTCAGCTCCCTGGCCCTGGGATCGAACTTATGGTCCAATGGCTGCCGACAGCTTTAACCCATTGTACCACCAGGGAGGGACCACAGGGGCCATTTTTTAAGGACTTGTCTGATTACATCTGAACCACCAGCCTCAGCTCCCTTTTGATTAACTCAAATCAGCTGATTAGTTTCTTTATCATGAGAGTGACACATGTCCCACTCACACTGAATCGGGGCAGGGGGTGCACAGGGCTTACATATTAGAGAACTTTAGGGGCCATCTTAGAATTCTGCCTAATTGCAGCCAGTTATTTTTGTTTGGTTTTTAGTTGTTCTTTTTTAATCATTACTGACTTTTATAGGAAAAATTAATGATTCTATTATTTAGGACCTTTTATATACATATAACTTTAGAAGTCAATTCAAATACAAGTTGAAAATTAGAGGGAAATTATTAGCTCAATTATTGGAAAATACCAAACTTCAAACATGGGTTAGTCCAGCAGGTAAAACAATGTCATCAAGCCTCAGCTCCCCACCCCCTTCCTTCCCCAGATTTCCCCTTAGTGGGAGAAATCAAGACTGTCCTCTCAGGGAGGGAGAACAGGCCTCATTTTTGAAGAAATGGAAGCCTGCAATGAATAAAGGAGGGTATCTAAGGTTCAGAAGATGGGGTGTGTGGGTTCAGTGGATCCAACCCCCCCCCAGTAATGGTCAAAACCATCCCCTTTCCCAGCCTTCTTCAGTCAAATCCCTGCGTGCCGAGCGCCTGATTCGCACTTCCCTGGACCTTGAGTTAGACCTACAGGCCACCAGAACCTGGCACAGCCAACTGACTCAGGAGATCTCGGTGCTGAAGCAGCTCAAAGAGCAGCTTGAACAAGCCAAGAGCCAAGGAGAGAAGGAGCTGCCGCATTGGCTACGTGAAGATGAGCGCTTCCGCCTGCTGCTGAGGATGCTGGAGAAGCGGGTGAGTGCGGCCAGGCCCAGGGCAGGCTGTCGAGGTCTCACAATCTGCTCTTGAAGCCACCAAGGAGTGAGGCCAGAGCTTTGACGAGCCCTGCAATCCTGTGGCTCACAGAGAGTGGCCACAGGTCCCTCACTCCCAGCAGCAGAGGGACCCTGTGCCCAGTAAACTGCTGTGGCTTAATGAGAAACTTCCAGGCCCTTTGGCCGGGTCTATGTGTGCAAGCCCTTATTATGCACACACATATGTGTCTGTGTGGTCCTTCAAACGTGTTGGGTACCAGATCTGTGCTGGGGTTTACACTTCAGCTGATTTTGAATCAGGCCAGGGGAAGAGGAGCCCATCAGGCCAGGGCTTTGTAGTGCCTGAGAATACAAGTCTCCTTAATGCAATTTGGTTGAGGGAGTTAGGGTTGCTCAAGCTAGAAGACATGACTTAGATGGCAGTATCTGGGTGATATTTTCCACAAGTTTGCACACAGAGGATGCCTTCACAGTGTCAAACCTTCCAGAGTGATTGTGCTGGTCCCATCAGACAGAAGGGAGGATGGCAAGTGGACTCCCAGCGCTGAAGGGTAGGACCCCTCTAGATGAGGTCACTCAGCAGGACCTCGGGGAGTCAGAACTGCAAAGCAGCAGCACTTCTACAGCCCTGGGGTTTGCCTTACCTATGATTTGCAGATATGAGGTACAGCCTTATGAGATATGTGAAGCAGGCAGGTACTAAGGAACAGCAAATCTGCTGTGTACACTATATTTAAGGCAGTTGAATGGGTAGAAATTTGAGTTTAGGACCAAACTGGCTTTAAAGCCAACAGGTCCCAGACTGTCATAAAAAAGCAAATAATACAGAACAAAAAACAGAGGCCCCCTTAACACATTTGTGTAACACCTTCCATGTTCAGATTGCCGGGAATGGCAGCGCCTTGCTAGTTCTCTGCACGCAGGCAGACAATGCAAAGTTAATGTCACAAAGTTCCAGAAATGTATGTTCTTTCTAAGCTACCACATCTACCTTTTATGTTTGTAACAGGGTTCTAAATAAAACAGAAAATTAGAGAAAGTTTTAACTTATGTCTAATTGTCTATTGCATCTGTCTTTGAGCTTCCAGGTAGCCAAGGCAAAAGTAGGTAAGATAATTAGTACATATAGTCCCTGCCATAAGAAAACATAAACTAAGAAAACCTGACCTTTGAACAGAAAAAAAAAAAAAGGTATATAGTACATCCATGACTGACAGAAAATGACCAAGTGATGATCCATCTACAGAATGGCCCCATTTGCCAAAATTCTGTATTCTTTAAATGTTTTCAAGTACATGGCACATGCATATTTTAAGGTTCTGTACAGTTTATTCTCAAAAATGTTTAACATCGGTTTGCATCAGGAGGAAAGGGTGCACTGTATCCACAGGCTCAAGCACAACTGCATGTCTTGGAATCAGATTCCAACCATTTTTACTACATTAAAAAAAATAACAAAAAAACTAAAAATCAGAAAAATGCTTTTTAAAAATGTTCTGAACACATTTGAGCCTCAGTTTCCTCGTCTGTGAGATAAAGGTCACTATAAAATCTACCTTCCTAGGGGACCCTGACAATCAGAGAAGGTAGCCACATTTTACCAGGCAGCCCTTATCTCCTTATTTCAAACAGGTTCATGCCAGTATTCAGTTACCTGGCCCCAAAGACATGTCCACTATGACAGCTGATGGGAACACTTTTCTTGGACCAAGAGGATCCCACAGTGGAACAGGAAGAGTGACAATATCTGTTCCTCAGACCTCTGGACTACAATAGACTCCTCATTTGCACTAGAACAGTCATCCGGATGCCTTAAGCACTGTCTCCTACCTCATGGCCTTGTTTTGTCCACAGATGGACCGAGCAGAGCACAAGAGTGAGCTCCAAACAGACAAGATGATGAGAGCGGCTGCCAAGGATGTGTACAGGCTCCGAGGCCAGAGCTGCAAGGAACCTCCAGAAGTGCAGTCTTTCAGGTGAGCGATGGTGCCTGGCCAGCCCGAGGGGCCTGCCTGGCCCTCTCACACCCAGCTGCCCAGACTAATTCTTTTCTGCAGTTCACTGCGTGCGCCCTGTCCTTGCTCCCTTCTCCAGCAGAACACCCATTCTCCCTGTGACAGATGTTCCTCCTTCACCACCCCCGGGCTGCAGTCTGCTGGGTTGTGGTGCTTTCCCAGGGCTGTTTTTATCTGTCCCCACACAACTCAAGCTAATTTGTTAGATCTCTTGTTCAATCAGTAAACCACCTGCTTCAGCCTTTCTTCTTAATGCCTCCATGGGGGAATTGTGGAGGATTGGCTGAATGATAAATAAGCCCTGGGGGCTGATGGAGGCTTGCAGGGCCTCCCTGGTGCTGTCTTAGCTCTGCCCAACGCCTGCCAGGATCTCAGAGAGGGGCTTTCTTGCTGTTCTGGGGCAGGTGTGTCAACAGGAGGGCCCCTAACCCCATGTTCCCTGAACTCCCCAACACAGAAGGCTTGTGATGGTCTCTCCATAAGGTACCTTATGTTGAAGCTAAAAAGCATTCCTTCTGGAATTTGTGTGACAATGTTTAGACAACTCTTCAGGTTGAACCAGTGGGGAATTGAAAACAAATACATTTGTGCCGGGGCCTTTCAACCCTGAGAAGCCTTTGATTTGGCCGGAAGGCATGTGTTCCCTCTAATGTCCCCCAAAGCCCTGGTTCTCTAGCAGGGAACATCTGCCCCTCACTTCAGAGACATTTGGCAGTGTCCGCCCACCCTTTGGGTCTTCACAGCTGGGAAGGGGCGTGAAGAGGAACTGCTACTCGTGAGCACCTCGCGATGAACTGTCGCCACCATCCAGAATCATCCCATCCCGTCTACAACTTGACATGGGAAAACCCTGCTCCAAAGTGTTGGCCTCTTTTACAGGGAGAAGATGGCATTTTTCACCCGGCCTCGGATGAATATCCCCACCCTCTCTGCAGACGATGTTTAATCGCCAGCAAAGTGTTTCTTTCGTTCCACTGACCAGGCTGTGAACAGAGACTGTGGCTAAAGTTATTTATGTGGTGTTATATGAAGGTCCCGAGTCCCAAGTCCTCTAGCGCTCTTGTTGGTGTGAAGATGAACAGATTTTTTTTTTTTTAGTTTGGGTTCTATTGTTATTAAAACAACAACAACAACAACAAAAAACCAGCATTAAAATGACAAGATTGTATAGTTTGTATATTTAGGAATGTATTTTTGAGAAAGAAAATTTAAATGAACTATAGCAGTGTTAAGTTGCTGCTCTTCTTAAAATAAAATTGTTTAGATTTTTTTTTTTTTTTGTACAGCTCTACCTTCTAGAGGTTTCACTGCAATAAGAAGTAATATCTGGGGGACGGTCATCCTCAAAGGACGTCCTGCCAATGTCACAGCACAGCTGACCTTTCCTACTTAACATATTTTGTACAATATTAAAAAATATGCACAGGAACTTTTTGGGGGATTCTGGGGTTTATCCAAGAGTCTTCATGAGCTGTGATGTGGTTCGATGTGGCCACCTGACCCAGCGTGGGCATGCGGGAGTGGTGACAGCCTGTCCATGCTGGTCTCAGATGTCCAGTGAAGCCACTGAAGCGAGTGAGGGAGGGCTGTGGAGGGCTCCTTTTGATTTTATCTCCATCAATAAATAAAGTGGCCTTTCTGAATGAATTTCCTCTCTTTTTCACTCCCCACCCCCCAACCCCAGTCTCTGCTTTTTCACTGATGTTTTTCCCTCTCTCCCTTGCAGTCATTTCCCTCTCAACTCCCTGAGTCCAGGTGACCTTTTCTCTTCTTCCCACTCCCCTGCCCCTTTGCGCAGAGCTGCTGCAGACCAGTGGAAGTCAGCCCTCAGCAAACAACTCTCAGAATCCCCTTCTCCATGAACCCTTCCTGGTGGTACAACAGGTTAAAACACAGCACTATGAGGCTACCACAGCCACTGCAACACAAGTTCGATCCCAGGCCAGGGAGGTGACCCACGTAGTGTGGCAGACCTCTCCTGACCCGCCTGCTGCTCCCCTCAGCAGTGTACTTAATCTATCTGCCTGTTCTGCTCCCCAATCTGTCTTTGGTGAATCCTCTTACCCCCTGCACCTCTGGCCTATACCCTGGTTCTGTATGCATAAATAAACAAATCTTTTTTAAAAAAATAAAGAATCCCCTTCTCCCTCCTTCCACTGACATCAGCCTGTATCACCTTCCTCAAAGGACTGGCTGTATCTACCACATCAGAAAACACTTGAAGCAGCTTGTTAAATGTATAGACTTCTGGCCCTGTCCCTAGGCCCACTGAACTCCACCTCCCCCACCAGGATGGTCCCAGAAACCTGCTGTTCTCTACATTCCCGCTTAAGTCTAATGCAGTTTGAGGATCTACAGGGAGAAGATGAAGGAAACTCAGGTGGAGACCGAGACAAAATGGTAAGGTCCTGAATCCTACAAGAGAGTCGAATAGGCCTTTCCAGGCCACCTGGGACCGTTAGGGGAGAGGTGATGGCAGGAGTGGAGACCTCTTCACCTGGCTTTGGAGACTTTCCCCCCACCTCTTCACTATAATCCTTCCCCAGCTGTTTCTGTGTAGAAGGAACGGACGGTAGTGTACAACCCACTGTTGCTCCCTTTCGTGGCTTCCAGGCTTTCCAGTGCAGGGCCTCCCTCTATCCAGTCCAGTTTCTTACCACCAACGCATGGCTTCCTCCTCCTCTATCCCAGCCAACACCAGCTTCTGATGCACCATCCCCTTCTGTGTGGGCTTCCGCTTTCTGCAAGTGACTAGTAGCATTGTCCTCCACTCACCTGGAATAGGTCCACGAGCACAAGGCTGGCATCTGTGCTGCTCCTGCCACCCCCATCCTACCCGTCTTGCAGCTTTCAGGCAGCTACTGTTCTTGTTGGCCTTGCCTTCTGTTAAGGTCACTGACAGTGAGGGAGGCAGAGCGGCCATCTCCCTGGACTTCCTGAGTAGGTCAAGGACAAGCATGGTACCAACTGAAGCCCTTCTCTGGCATTTCTCATCTGAAGGTTAAAGACTAAATTTTCTTTCTCTAAAGCTGCCTGCGGTCATGGTTCCAGCTTTTGTGGACAACCCTGCAGAGAAAAAAGAAACCACAAGAAGAGGCAGTCGGGGTATCCCTGGGGCCTTAATTAATTGACACCAGCAGTTGGCTGCACCCTCCAGTTATTTGTAGTCTGTTTGCCCAAGCAGGTCAGGTGCTTTGCAAAACTCAGCCACACCTTCATGCATAGTCAGCTCTCCTGCCAACAGTCCCTCACACCCCAGAAGCAGCAGTCTCTGAAGTGGAGCTCTACACACCCTCCTGTTGTGTGGTCAAGCTACATGTACATGGAATAAATCCTCCTGCCCGAAAGTATGTCTCTGTCACTCGATAGAGTATTTGTGGAGAAGCCCAGATTCCCCTCTGAATTGTGATCTTGAATTCTATACAAACAGTTCTCTAGCCCACCACCAGTGTGTTTCATTGTTTGCCTGGCAAGAAATTGAAATGTAAATAAATAAATTTCCATTCGTAATCATGTATGTGTCTTCTCCAGAATCTTCACGAAAGCAAAGTCCAGAAATGAGAAATGAATCTGCTCAAGACCTCTCAGATAATATGTGGCCAGAGGCCACAGGGTCTCTTAGCTTCAGTTTCTGTCTCACAGGCGTCATCACCTCATGTGAGGCCCTACTTGAAGGGACTTTGAACTTTTGGCTTTGAAGAGAGAAGTCATAAAATCCTTTGCAGGGAGGAGGACTGAGACAGAGAAAGATGGGGGGTGAGCAGGCTATGAGAATGACAAGCGATACTCACTAAAGGATCTTGGTTGTCCCTTTATCAGGCTGTTTGTCTTTTTGACAATAATTCTTTGCTATATACAAATCTTGCTGTGCCTCCCAAGAAAGCTAAGAAATAAGATCTGCCTGGTTAACTCTTCTCTGCTGATCAGACTCACAATGACCTATTACATTTCTCTTTTTTGTTTTAAATATTGATTTGTGCATACAAGAACTGGGGTACAGGCCAGAGGTACAAGGGGTGAGGGGATTCACCAGAGACAGAGTGGGGAGCAGAACAGGCTGAGGTACTGAAATATACTGTTGAGGGGAGCAGTGAGTGAGACAGGAGAGGTCTGCTGTGCCATGTGGGTCACCTCCCTGGTCTGGGATTGGAACTCATGCTGCAGTGGCTGCAGAGTGCTTCATAATGCTATGTTTTAACATCTTGTGTCCCAAGGGGTCCCTGAGCTATAACATTTCTTATTGAAGTAACTGATTTATAATATCATATAGGTCTCAGGTGTATATCATTATATCCAGCATTTATATATACTAAATAAAAGAATTGTGTGAGATAGTAGAGAGATGAGATTTGGGTTCTTGTTTGGCAGTAAAGACTTCCGATTATTCCAGTACTGCCTTGACTTACAATATTAATTTTGTTATAATTGTTTTTATTAATTAGCCAGTTGTAATATTTTTGATTTCAAGAGGATTTTCCCAATCTGGAGCAGCACTTGCTCGCCTGAGCCAGGCAGCACCTTATGAGGCTAAAGCAGCCCAGTAGGAAACTGATGGTTGCTTGAAATATTTTGTTGATCGTACAAAAAATGGGGGGTCATAACATGAGCTAGCGTGGAAATTCAGAGCATTTCCCCTCCACCCGAAATGTCAGTTGATAGAAGTTGTATAGCTTGTGTTAATTCTTCATACACTTGACCCTTTTACTTAATTTATTCCCCCCTTTCTTTCCTATAACCACTACTTTGGTCTATTTAGTTAATTCTTTGCTTTCTTTCTCTTCCACATGAGTGAAATCAGATGGTGTTTGTCTTTCTCAGACTTACTGCACAGTCCCCTCAAGGTACACCCAGATTGCTGCAAATAGCAGGATTTCATCTTTTTTTATAGTTGAGTAGTATTCCATTATTATCCATCCCACATCTTCTTAATCCACTTATCTGTCCAAAGACATTCAGGTCATTTCCAACTCTTAGCTCTTGCAACTAATGCTGCAATGAACATGGGGGTCGCATCTATATATATTTTTACATTAGTGTCTTGTTCTTCAGAAGATAAACTCACAGCAGTGGGGTACCTGGGATGACCTTTTCTTTATTCTTACCACAGGGCCTTCACAATTCCTTCTGCCTGGTATATTCTTTGTCTTCTTTCGTCCCTCTTCATAACTGCTATTCCAATCTTAGCTCAGGCTTCACCCATAGGGCACCACCCCCCACCCCCCCACTCCCAGATGGGTAACCCATCAAATTTGACCCTCCCAGAGTCACTTTTTGACACAAATGAGTAACCGGATTGATTTAATGCTTCTCTTTGCAGTAGTCTTGCTACGCCCCCTTCTCTATCAATTCCCTTTAGAACTCAGGGCTTTGAAGCAGGGACCTTGTTTGCTTCCTTTTCTTTTCAGCCTGACTCAGAGTGAGTCCTTAGTAAATATTTGCAAAATGAATGAGATTAAATGTCCAGAGGTGTACTGGCTCCTTCTGCTTTGTCATTCATTCCTTACTGGGAGAAAGGAAGGTTCAGGGTGGGACCAGGGCAATGAAGGCTATACTGCAGTGTCAAATTGTGGGCCCCTTCCTAATCCAGCTAAATACACACACACACACACACACACACCCTTCAAGCACACACACACAGACACACACCATACTGCTGCATAAAGAAGTGATGGTAATTCCTAACACTGTTTATGTTCTTTGAGGAGTCAGATTATTTACCTCTCCTGATGGCCTCAGGAGGAGCAGGCTGGGTGGGCTGACACAGGGGTGATCCTAGTTGTATCCAAGATCACATTTCTAACTGAATCCACTCCTCTACCACTCTAACATCTTCCCCTAAATCTGCACCTCCTGGGTTAATTATTGTAGTTTTCATAATTCCTCTGCCCATTTGCTAAAACTTACATCTGCTCAAATATGTATTGCTTGAATAATTGTTCCATCCCAAAGACAAAATATAGAATGTGCTTTAATATCTCTCTTCCCTCTCTTCCCCCCATATAGTAAAAATGGAAGAGGTAGCAGAAGGCATTAACAGTTCCCTTCTCCCAATGCAAGTCCCAACTCTGTGGTGTGGTGGAAACAGCCCTTGAGTCTTAGCCGTCCCCTCTGTTGGCAGGAGAGGGACTAGACTAGATCGTTTGAGTCAGAGCTCCAGAGTTGGTGACAATACTGCCAGCACCTGTACTGCCGACTGCTTGTTCCTCCTACCCCAGGTCAGATCTGGAAGGTCAGAAGGAATGTTGACCCCAAAACCCTAGCCTACAACTTGGAGCTAGGGATGCAGCCTGTCTCTTTTTAGCTGGAATCCTCCTTTCAATCTGGAATACTCTCCTTCATCCATATCATAAATGGATGAGCCAAATTCACAGCCCCCGAGTTTTGATGCAAATGCATTATACAAGAAACAGCAGGTCACATAGTAGTCCATAGCCATTGTTTAAAGGTGTGACAAGTTTTCAAAATCTCAACATTTGAAAATCTACATTGGAATATGAATTTAAAAAAACTCTGAGGGGACACAGCACAGAAAAGTTTAAAGACTGCTGCTCTAAGTACTAGGACCTAGTTCACTCTTACAGGGAAGAGTGAACAGGAAGACATGGAAATCCCTGACCTCTCAGAACATACATACCATGTTAACTGTTTATAACTAACATAAATGTCACCTTCTCAGAGGCCTTCCTGACTGGAGTCCCTACTACACCTGGCAATTAAGACTATCTGAGATTGCTGATTACTTTTTTGGCTAGTCGGTGTCTCTAGTCTACAATGTAACCTCCATGAGATCGGGGAAATTATCTGTCTTCTTTCCCGCTTCTTTTCAAGAGTCTGGAACCCTGTCTGGCATATAAATGGATATGGTAAATACTTACTGAATATATGAATAGATTTTATTGGTCCTCTGCGTATTTCACGGAAAAAGCAAACCAAAGCCCTGAAGAGAGAGAGAGATGCTAGGTAGTTGCCTCTGTCCACATCAACCCAGGCACAGAACACAAAGATGCTCTGGTCTGATTCCCCTCAGTCCCTCAGCTCTCGCCCCACAAGGATCTAAGAGCAGGGAGAGAAGGACACCACTGAACCCCCAAACCTGCCTGCTCTAAATAGGTTCTGCATCAAAACACCTAAGACTTTAATGAAAAGGAAATTTAATACAGTGAGTATACAACACAGAAGACAAAATATAATTTCTAAATCAAACACATGAAGTTACCCATCCCCTCGTGGGTAAAAGTCCACCCAAAAGGGACTGGCCCAAAGCAAGGCCTGAAAGCCCGCCACTAGACTAAAGCACCTTCTGGCCGGGACCCATGGAAAGGGGTCAGATATGGCCAAACAAGTCTGGGAGGAAAAAATCAAAATCAAAATCAATATAAACACTGCCAGAGTCAACCTTCCCACAGGTCTCTCACCCACATCTCTTTCAACAAGTCCAGGGCCAAGAAACAAACACGTTTTCTTCACTTCTCCCTTTGCTACATGTGGCTTCCTCAGGTCTCCTTCTGGCTCTCCATCCTGCTTCCTTCTTCCCCTCCAGATTCCTTCTCTCCCTTTCTCCGCTCTGCTCCATCCTCCTTCTGGGTGGGGCAGGGAATCTGGAACTTCCCCTTTTCCTGGGGACCACCCAGTTACAGTTTCCCATAATCCCCATCTTGCCAGAGACGTCCTCGAAGGGTCTCCCCGCCATGTCACCTGGATCCCGCCAGGGGGCAGCACAGAGAGATTCAACCAGCCGGCTGACCGTCGCCGGTGGGCGGGGGAAGGCTTCCGCTTCCGGGTAGAGCTGCCCGTTTCCGCTTCCGTCGAGTTGGTATGTGAGGCACTAACGGGAGGATGGACGGGCTGGTGGCTCAGTGCTCCGCGCGGCTGCTGCAGCAGGCAAGACCGCGGGCGATCAGGGGAAAGGTTTACAGGCGTGGGGACGAGACCCCGGACCCTGCCCAGACCTCGGCGGGTCGGCGTCAGCGAGACAGAGACCGCCGGGTCGCCTCGGACGCGGGTGGGGCTCCAGAAACCCGCTCGTTGCTGCCTCACGGGGACGTTCTTGTAGGGGTCGCAGTGGAAGAATCCAACCCTCGATGGCCCCTGTGACAGTGACGGAGCGGAGGGCCCCGCCCTCACAGACCTTCCCCTAAGTTAGCATCCCCGGCGGAGCCGAGCCTGGCGCTTTCAGTCCTGTCGCTCCACGGTGCCGCGTGCCCGCACGTGCGCTCCCGGTGTCCGGCACGGCGCGAGGTGGGGCGGGAGCCGTGGGTCCAGGTCTGCGCCGCCTCCGCCTCTGTCTCGGCAACGCCCAGCCGGGGGCCTCCTAGAAAGCCCCGCGGAGTGCTTCATTATCAGGCGCAAGTCTGCTCTCTGCCTCCTGGGTTGGTGGGGAAGCGGTCCCAGCTTGTGGAAGTGGGACTGCCTAAATCGGGAGGGATGAAATTAGCTTAATACTTCTCGGTACTCTCGAATCAGCTGTCACAAAGTACAAGGTGGTCAAGTCAGTTGGCAAGTTTATTACTGAGCCATATATTACTGAGCCCAGTCAACCTGGGGGGACGTAACAGCACTCTCTGGGTAGGATGGAAGTAATAGGGCTCATTTCGGACAGCTGTTTAATCAGCACTTGGGACGTACAGTATCCTCTATGGCAGTTTTCTCGGAGGTGTATGTAGTTGGCTCTTGGTGAATATTCTCAACTTTCAGGTGAGGAATCTCCCTTTGGAGATTCCTAAGTGGAAAACTTAATTTCATTCTCATTTGGCAGGTCTTAGGTATTTGAGGCAAAAGTCAGGTCTACGTCAAACGCTGGTAATAGAAAATGAGGAAATCCCTTTGTCCCAGAAAGGGCAAAAAACAGACATTTGAGCTATTTTTTAAAAATGTATTTATACATACAGAACTGGGGCACAGGCCAGAGGTGCAGGGGCAGTGAGAGGATCCACCAGAACTAGGCTGGGGAGCAGAACAAGCAGCTTGAGCAAGTACACTGCTGAGGGGAGCAGCGGGCCAGACAGGAGAGGTCTGCTGCGCCATGTGGATCACCTCCGGGGAGAGAATAGAACTGGCACAGAAGCGGCCATGGCCAGCCTCGCAGTGCTGTGCCACCAGGGAGGGCCTCTCACTGGAGCTATTTTAAATGTGACAAAAGGCATTTTCTTCCTAAAAGAGCCCCAAGTCATAAGGTTTGGAAATAAAAGGCCATTACACCTAAGTCCTTAAACTTAACCAATGTTCTCACTAAATCAGTGGTTCACTCTGGCCAAAGAAACTAGCTAGATGAGACTTACCCTATTAATCCTTATATACAAGATAATATGCAAATGCCATCAAAAGCCGAGAGAAGGAAAAATAACAGCAAATGTAAAGTTCTTTCTTCATTCCCAGCTACTGCACCCAACTCTTGTGGAGAGGCAAAATGAGGAAGTAACTTAATGGTACAATTTATCTTATTCAGGAAGTGTTTGATTTTCCTGAACTGAACAAAGTACCTTTTCTTTCTCAGGAAAAAGAGATCAAGTCTCTGACTGCTGAAATTGATCGGTTGAAAAACTGTGGCTGTTCAGAAGCTTCTGCAAATTTGGAACAGTTGCGAGAAGAAAATTTGAAGTTGAAGTATAGACTGAATATCCTTCGAAAGGTGAGTACCATCAGCTCTAATTTTATTCTGTGGTTTGAATTACTGTGTCTTATTAAAAACCCTCATTATTAAAAGATTCTGAGAATGCACCTTGAGGAATTTGAAAAGCACAAATTCATTTCCCTATATTAACAAGTCAGGAGTAAGTTGTAGGTGCATTTAATGGAAGTGTTGGTGTCCTGTCCTTTGTCAGAAGTTCAGAAATGGCTGAAATGAAACCATTGAATCACTGAAGTAGTAATTAGTAAAGCTTTATTGCTCCCACAACAGAATGTTAGTTTGCAAACCTGAGCATTCAAATCAAACATGACTGGGACTCAGGGTAGATTATTACAGAGCAGCTGATACAGTGAGAAGGCAGTGACTATTTCTTCTTCACAGTAACTGGTTTGTAATATTACAATTTTCTTAACTAATAAATTAGTCAGTGGCTACCTTATAACAACTTGGGAAAACAGTATAACTTGATCTGGAAATCCTAAGTAAAATTTAGTCTTGCAAAATAAGCTAAATTAAGCTTTGCTTGTGCAACTAAATTGGTTTTCTCTGCTCAGGAAATTTTCAAGTCTGGTCTGCATTTGCCTTTGGTTTTAATACCTTCCAAGGCCCTTTGAAATGTTTCATCATATATATTTGGCTAGATTCTGGTAGGCCCAATTGAGACATTTCTTTTAATAGTCTGTCCCCTTTTTTAAAAAAATCTTTTGAATTTTAAATAATTGCCTGTATCAACGGAAAATAACACCCATAGTCCTGTGGCCTGATTTTTTCTACAATATCACATTTGGTTGTGATTTTTTCCTATTTACTACTTCAAACTTTTTTTTTTTCTTTCATTAAGCTTGTGCTGGGTTTGTTAATGATTTTTAGACAGTATCAGTTTTGTTAAAAAATTGAGCTTTCTCAATTGAGATTTTAAAAAATGTACAAAATGATGTAAAAATAAACTTATATTATAAAAAAATTAATTAATTTAAAAAAATTGAGCTTGCTTCTGTTGGGATTTTAATTTTTTAGTCCTGTCTTTCTGGTCTGCTGATGACACATCCTAGCAATGACCTCACCCCATAATTGTTCTCCCGTGTGTATTCTCTGCTTTCAGTGGAACTGCACTGGCTTTTTATCTTTTTTTCCCTAAACTAACCACATTCACATTAGACTCTACCTACCCCACAGCCATGAAGTGTCTTATTACCTCATTGTGATCTTTTTCTGTGGTAGCTTTATCTTTGAGTCTTCTAAAAGCAAACAATTCTTTTTCTAAGAAATGTTGCCCAAAATATCTCACCTTCTGATTACTTCATATGTCATGCTTTTATACTCATATCTCAGTTATAATTATTTCATTTCCAAATATTATTAAGTGTCTAATATGAGTTAAAGGTTATGAAGGAAAAGATACTAAAGGATATGCCGCATATTCCTATACATCTTAGGATATGCCGCATATTCCTATACATCTTAGTAATGTAGGCTAGTTCTAGGGTAAAGGTAGGATAGTGCTGTCAATGTGATGAAGGAAGCATATTGGTTTATATTAGCTGAGTAAGAGCTAAACACTAGGCACAGAATACAGCTGAAAACACTCAGCCATGGAGCACTAAAGTTGCTGTGTGGGCACTCATTCACCCTCCCTTTTTCCCCCTGGCTCACTTGGGCCACATTATCTGACTCAACACTTATTATATGGTTCTCAGGAGTGCTTTCATTACCTCAGCTTAAGTCTACCTTAGGCTCTTCCCATTGAGCTGCCTTTATCTTTTTTTAAGATAAAATCTTATATTTATTCAGTACTTACTAGAAATTATAGGTGTGCCTTTCTGACAGTAATGATTTTGGGATTGCAGTTTTGAGTGTGCTCTTATTATAACTACACAGTTTGGGTCACTGGTATCTGATTCTAATTTTCTCAAAGGTGAAAATCAGGTGGCATACTTTCAAGTTTTTTAGAAGGTTTACATTGTGTTACAGCAGAAATGTTTATATCACATGTAATATAATATTTCTTAACCTAATAAAATCACTTCCCGTTTTGGGGGAGAAAAGAATTGCACATATGAAACATGCAAGAAGATACTACTCATCTAATTTGATCAAACACTAAATTGCATGGTGCAAAAATCAAGTTTATGTACATGCTCACAAAAGCACACACATGTACTTATATACCAATATCTCTATCATTAAAAAAATACAAGTTTGAGTGATTTTTAGAGTCTAGTAAATTTAATGTTCGTTATTAGAAACCTTTAGATGTGAAAAGCATACCTTTTCCTTTGTGTGTTGTTACAGACCTAATACCAGGGTTGTATCTGTCACCTTCCATTCAGAAAACTAGACTCTGAACCATGAGATTGTTTCCACAAAGCAATCAACTTATAAAAGTAGTTAGTGCTCCATAAAAAGACCTCCTAAGTGGTGAGTGTAGGAACTTTATAGGAAAGAAAGTAGTTCAAAGACATGAGGGATGTGGGGGTTTCCTTATCCTCAAATCTGAGAAGGGACCAGATTGAATGTCTAGGGACATTCAATTCCAGGATAATCGATGACTTTCCTAGAAAAGTTCCTGTTCTGTGTTATCAGTGTGGGATGGTATGCTGGTGTTCATCAAACACTGAAGTTAGCAGCAGCAACAGATGGAATAGAATATCTTGTAAATTAAGCAGCCTATGACTGGCTCTGAGGAACATGGTATAGTGAGTTAAATTAAATTACTAGGTTAAAGGTTTAGCTCAGGTCCAACAAGCACAAGTGTTCAGTCACTATTTCATGATAACCTGGAAAGTACAATGCTCAGTGTGCCAGGAATATAGCTGTGGATAAGATACCTCCACCTAGAAGACTGGTGGAAACAGATAATTTTAAGAATAAATCCAACAGAAGAATGAATAAGAACAGTTCAAAACAAGGAATAAAAATACAGAAGGACCATAAGGGCAAATGCAAAAATATATAGAAAGTGCACATCTTCAATGAATATATTCTGCTTTATAGAAAGTAGTGATCCAAGTTGGAGTTATTTAACAATAAGACAAAGCTAAGTATTTTTCTGATGATTTGATATTTCCTACTTTCTTTCATTGCATTCCTTCAGGGGTCAACATTTTTTTTTTTTTTAAAGATTATTTATTCATACAGAACTGGGGTTACAGGCCAGAGATGCGGAGGGTGAGAGGATTCACCAGGGACAGAGTGGGGAGCAGAACAGGCAGATGGACAAAGTACAGTGCTGAGGGGAGCAGCGGGAGGGTCAGGAGAGGTCTGCCTCACCATGTAGATCGCCTCCGGGGCAGGTGGGGATGAACTCATGCGGAAGTGGCTTAAGCTTCTCAGTGCTGTGCTTTAACCCTCTGCACCACCAGGGAGGGCCAGGGATCAACATTTTAATGGCAAGAATATATATATGGACCGCACCCACCCCCCTCCCCATGGCATAGTGGGTTAAAGCGCAGCACTAAAAAGCTGTCCGTAGCCACTGCGACATGAGTTCAATCCCCAACCAGGGAGGTGACCCACATGGCACAGCAGACCTCTCATGATCTGCCTGCTGCTTCAGTATTTCAGTAGATCCACCTGCTCTATTTCCCACTCTGTCTCTGGTGAGTCCTCTTACTCCCTGCACCTCTGGCCTGGATGTTAGTTCTGGTATGCATAAATAAAATAAATAATAAAAGTTAAGAAAAAGAATACACATTTTTTTCTCACCATGAGTTTTTTCACTTCCAGCATTCTATACAAAGTTAGATTGATATTACCCTGTTACTTTCTCAATGCTTTGGAGAAAAAGAAAAGATGCTTCAGTCAACTCTTTGACCCCCTACTCCAGGTTTCAGTTCTGATTAATTAAGAAAGAACTGGATATTTTTCATGTGTCTTGGATGTAGTGGGATAGGTGTGTCCTGTAATATATTTCTCACTATACCCCAGGTGTGAGAGGGCTACATTGTGAATGTATGTTACTTTTCATTCTTCTCAGGACATTTATGGGTTTCTTAAAATATTTGGGAAATTTTTTTATAATGATTTAATATTTTGTGAATATTTCCATTCTTTTCCTACAGAGTCTTCAGGCAGAAAGGAACAGACCAACCAAAAACATGATTAACATTAACAGTCGCCTACAGGAAGTTTTTGGTTGTGCCATTAAGTCTGCTTATCCAAATCTGGAAAATCCTCCTCTGATAGTAACACCAAGTCAACAGCCCAAGTTTGGGGATTATCAGTGCAATAGTGCAATGGGCATCTCTCAGGTGATTATGTTATTATGAAGCTCTCTCTCTTGGGGGTTTGACTTTCTTAAACCAGTATCATCAGTACCTATATAGATAATAACGAATTATTGTATCTTCAATGAAAATAATACTTTCATTCACAGTTCTGAAAAACTTGAGAACAAAAGGTGAATTTTTTTTTCATTGAAAACACAAATTTGAATATTCAGTTAAACTTCATATGTATTTCATTATTTAAGGGCAATAGTTGGTACAATTTTAGTACTTCTCTCATATTGTGTCCAGAATTGGCTGTTACTGGTGAGGGCTAGGAGGTGACCAATTAAGTTAGTCATTTATCATTGAGCATTCCCATCAAATATTTGTGTAACTGTGGTGTCTTTAAGGTATATTTCATTTTCAATCAATAGTTCCCAGTTTTTGATAGCTAAATTGTGTAACGTGTTTGTGGTCATTTGTGTGTCTTTGCTTTCCTTTCTTTGCTATAAAAAGGACTTATGTAAAGAGTTTAGAGTTTTTGTAGATAATTTTTATGTGTCTACATGTGGGTTAAGTAAGATTATGAGAGTACTTTTTATTAATGAAGTCTAAATATTGCATACTTTGGTGATTTGAAAATTAGAAATGTAAATATGCTGGAAGCTTTTATCTTTATTAAAAAGTTCTAGATATATGACAACTTGTTTTGAAATAAAGATCATGTAGTTTTGGTACTTTTGTATTCTTCTTGGCACTACTGATGTGTGATGTCCTTTCACAGTGCCATTGGATTTTCCTGCTTCTGCCTTGTTTATAGGTCTTATGTCAGATTTGTTAGTTTTGCATTTCTGAGTAACTTACTGAAAGCTGTCATATAATGTACCATTTTATGTTGCGTTATAGATACTCAAAACCAAGGAACAGAAAGTTAATCCAAGAGAAATTGCTGAAAATATTACCAAACACCTCCCAGACAGTGAATGTATTGAAAAAGTTGAAATTGCTGGTCCTGGTATGAATTAATTCTATCCTTCTTATGTAGTTGTATTGGAAATAAAACAAAGACATTTTACATATAAATGCAAGGGGGCCTTACATTCCTGGTGGGGCAGGGGTTAAAGTCTCAAGCTATTGCTGGCCACTGTGGCATGAGCTCCATCTCTGTCCAGGGAGGTGACCCACATGGCATGCAGAACTCTCCTGTCTTGCCACTGCTCCCTTCAACAGTGTATTTCAGTAGGTGCCTGTTCTACTTACCATTCTGCCTCTGATACATCCTCTCACCTCCTGCACCTCAGTTCTTATATGCATAAATAAATAAAAATATTTTTAAAAAATATATACATATAAATGTAGGGTTAAAACTTGTAGATTGAGGCCCTCCCTGGTAGCGCAGCGGGTTAAAGCACAGCACTAAGAAGCTAAAGCCACGTCCCCATGAGTTCGATCCC